GGGGCTCGATCCCAGGACCCTGGGATCATGACCTGAGCCGAAGGCAGACACTTAACGACTGAGCCACCCAGGCGCCCCTACATCATTAGTTTTTGATGCAGTGTTCCATGATTCTTTGTTTGCGTATAACACCGAGTGCTCCATTCAATACGTGCCCTCTTCAAGCTTTTAAGAAAAATCCTTCTGAAAAATAATGGCAGATTATTTGTTTCAGGTACGGAACAGTACAGTGAATACACAGGCTATGCTGAAACGTATCGTTGGGCCCGAAGCCATGAAGATGGAAGTGAAAGGTGAGTTCGTTTCTGACTTGAGTATTGCATGACCAAAAGCTAAGGAATGTGGGTTTGACCTAGTACATTCTGTCTTCCATCTACTCTTACTTTGGAAATGTAACTGTTGTTTTAAGTTGAGTATTACAGGTTCATTGGTAGTTAAACTAGTATTACCATCTCCATATACAAAAGGGAAGAACAGAGAAATAAAAGCCAAAAGTATAAACCAAAAATAAGGGTGGAACTCTTGTTCTTTACCTGTCAGCTACCAAATGTAAGCAGTCAGTGGAGGTTAACTTCCAAGGCCAAACTTACTTAGAATAGGTTCTTATTAGAGCTTAAAGCCTTTAACCAGCTTATTTATCCTTAATTTTTCTGTGAGATTAAGTAGGTGGGGAAACATGTTGGGACAGTTTGCCTAATGCCACAGGACGGTTAACAGCATGACCTACAGTAAACTTTGCTGAAGTCTCCTATTTCTTACTGAAAAATGCTTTTATACTTTGACATATTTGCTTCCTCGCGAACTTTTAGGGGGTAAACTTTTATAGAAATGGTGCCTGAGTAATATTCCATTGTATATATATATACCAAATCTTCTTTGTCCATTCATTAGTTGATGGATATTTGGGCTCTTTCCATAATTTGGCTACTGTTGATAATGATGCTATAAACATCAGGGTGCACGTATCCCTTCAAATCAGTATTTCTGTATCGTTTGGTTACGATACCTAGTAGTGCAGTTGTTAGATCGTAGAATAAAGAAGATGTGGCATATATCTATAATGGAATATTACTCAGCCATAAAAAAGAATGAAATCTTGACATTTGCAATGACATAGATGGAGCTAGAGAATGTCATGCTAAGTGAAATAAGTCAGTCAGAGAAAGACAAATACCATATGATTTCACTCATATGTGGAATTTAAGAAACAAAACAAATGAACACAGGTGGGGAAGAGAGAGGCAAATCAGAAAACAGATTTTTTTTTTTTTAAGATTTTATTTATTTATTTGTCAGAGAGAGAGCGCAAGCAGGGGGGAGAGGCAGACAGAAGGAGAAGCAGACTCCCCAGAGCCCAACGTGGGGCTTGATCCCAGGACCCTGAAATCATGACCTGAGCCGAAGGCAGATGCTTAACCAACTGAGCCACCCAGGTGTCCCAGAAAACAGACTCTTAACTATGGAGCACAAACTGAGGATTACTGGAGGGGAGAGAGATGGATGGGTTAAAGAGGTAATGGGATTAGGAGTGCACTTATTGTGATGAGCACAGGGTGTTGTATGTGAGTAATGAATCACTAAATTCTACACCTGAAACTAATATTACACTGTATGTTAACTAACTGGAATTTAAATTAAAATTTGGAGAAAGAAAAAACAAAAAGAAATGATGCCTGAAAGCACTTGTGGGTGTGTACATGCGTTAATGAAAAAGAGCAGTTGTGTTAGAATCAGTAATTGCCCATCTACCCATGCCAGCTTATTCTTTGTAATATCTCAAGTCCGGCCCCTGGTTCTCTTCCCTTTTGTTTTGGTTAAAATATTTGGTTGTAACAATTACCTATGTGGATATTTAATTCCTGATAATTACTTACAGACTAACATGAAGGTTTCTGTTGCCTTTCTTCAGTATGAAAAGTTGCTTGGCATGTCACTTTATGCAAGTCTGTAAAGGGAGTATTGGAATATTTGGAATTTCACATTGCCAGAGTCATCTCACCCAGTCCTTCCTATTTCCACAGGCAATATCTGCTTTACTGTCTTTGTCTTTTTAAAAATAGTTTCACACCATCAGCAATTGAGCACAGTAGGTAGAATGTTGTGCTGAATCATGACACATTTTTTTAACACTTGTTGGGATTATGTTTTGGATGGTAGATGGTGATGTTATAAACCCAAGACCCAAAAAACAGGTCTTTCAAAGCAAAGGAAGAACGAGCATTTTTTTTGGCTTTTGTCAAGATACAAATGCTATGTCTTCAGTATTAGAGGAAAACCAAGAACGAAGTTCCTTTTGTTTGCCCCCAAATCCTTTAACTTCTGAGACTCACTGTAAATGATGTATCTGTTTACACTCTGTCATATTTGTCATCTCTTGATAATTTTTTGTTTTACTCTTTAATGCCTAGTAGTCCGTTATGTGTATGCCTTGAAATATAAAGATGTGGTTTTCTGCCCTCTTGTTTTGCTGAGACCTGTAGCTACTGGTTTGTTGGTTTGTTTTTAATATTTTAGCCCTGCCAGACTCCTAGAAACCCCACCTCACAAGGGTTACGTTTTGTGAGTGTCTTTCCCCAGTCATCGTCTTCCCCCTTCCGTCCTGCCCCAGGGATGCCTGGCAGCGGCGCGGCACTGAGATCGTCGCCATCGATGCCCTTCACTTCAGACGCTACCTCGACCAGTTTGTGCCCGAGAAAATCAGACGAGAGCTTAACAAGGCCAGTAACCTCATTTCTCAGTTCATCTGGCAGCTGTCATCTATTTACTGCCATTTTATTAATGCTGAAATTAATGCTTTCTGGTAATTCTTGCAGTGTCACTATGTCTGCCCACAGCTCTCTTGATTTAATGGGTCTGTCAGCTTGTACAAGATGTACTTTCCATTTCGTAATTGCTTGATTACTGATGCCAGATAGACTGTTGCTTCATATTAAGCCCCACACATGCATTTAGCTCATCAAATACTTTTACTTGCTTTGGAACATTATTATTGTAAAACCATATAGAAATGAATGAGCGCTAACAAATTTTTGTCACACCTTTCAATGACGTCTCTACAAGGTATGCCATCAGGGTTAAATACAAATAAACCATAAAAGTTAAGTTCTCTTATAGGTAAGATTCACATGTAAATCGTTTATTGATTAGGTAATTTGGCATATTTATGATGCAATCTGTGATTTTCTGTGATGCTTAGTGCTGTCTACTAAATCATTTTTTCTAATAGTATTTCAGAAATCTGAAAATGAGCCATGCCTATTATTCAGATTTTCACTACTGCTAACCAAAGTAAATAAACTACCATACAGTAGAGTACTGATTCTATTCTCTAAATTTAGGGCTTTACCAAAACAGTTGATAATTTCTTTAGATCTTTTACAGCCAAGAAGACTGACCCAATCTGAAAACCATTGTTTAACTCGCATGAGTCATATTTGATTATGAGATTGTTTATTAAGATAATTGCATGGCTACATGTGTGCCAGTCTCTACATAGACTTTTGATAATGACAGCAGACTGGGTGTACCATTGCAAGGGGATTGGGAACGCCCTTGCAGTAGCACATCTGACATTGTGTATATCATCCTCAGGTTCTCCCTGGTCTCACTCTTGTGGTCCTCTGCATATCCTAGCACAAACACCTTGCCTTTCATATAGTTAGTAAAATAAAGAACCAAATAATCCAGAGAGGCTTTTGCTTCTCTTAGAACTTGGTATATATTTTGAGTATAATTATATATATTATCTTATATTCTGATCTATTCTTATGTTCTGAGAATTTAATTGTTGAATGTGTTTTCTTATACCTGTCGATTAGAATATTTTAATTATTTTATTTTTTTAAAGATTTTTATTTATTTATTTGACAGAGAGAGACACAGT